CCACATACTGTCGTCGTCTCCATGGAACAACATCGACATAAATATGCAACAACCCTGCCGACAGAGCTTCCAGGCTGTATAGCCACGCAAAAAAAAAAAAAAAAACTAAAGAAAAAAAAAAAATACCACGGACGTCATCATCTCCCTCCAGAGCGCGCGCGGCCTCTCCCGGAGGACGGGCGGCCATGCGGTCCTCCCTAGCGCCCTCCTCTCCCTCTGGCACCTGTGAGGCTGTGCTCCGTGCTCCGCTGAGGTATGCCGCCTTTGCTGCAGCGGCTGCCGCGGCCACCTGTGCTCTGTGTCTGCGGGCCGCTGTTTCAATCGGCTCGGACTCTGTGTCTGGGTCCTCGTCGTCCGCCACCCGTGCAGCAATCCCCATCTCTCTCTCCCTCTGAATCGCGTCCAATGCTACCTGGCCAGCGGCGACCCCTGCCGCGAGTCGTGCCTCAACCTCCGAGAGGCCGCACTGTCGTCTCGTCCCGGGACGCATCAACAACCCCTCCTCGTCCGATGTGTACTGCTGTCCCCGCAGCATGTCCGTGGATGTCCCTGCGGCCTCGAGGACCAATGATCTCCTCGACTCTGCTCGTGACAAACCGAGCATGCGGCCTGCCATCTGCAGGCTCGGACGTCTTGACCAACCCTCCGCAGCCTGCGTCTAAACTGGCGTACGTCTCGAGAAGACGCCCCTCCCGACGTCGTAATCCGCCCGCAACCGGTCCCCGACCTGACAAACAGCTGACCATCCTCCACCCACACCACCTTGGACTGTCGACGGGGAACTGCCACTGTGCGCAACTCCGGGTGCCGCCGTCTGGTCCCCGGCGTCGACCACAGCCTCCGGAGTCCGTGCGGGCGGTGGAGGCATCGATCCTGCACTGTCTCTGCCGCCGTTGCTGCGTCTGCCGGACCCTACCTCACCTGCTCTGGACTCCCTCCCTCTCACGCCGCTGAGCAACGAACCCGACCATCGAGGGCTTTGCACCACGAACGGTGGCGGTGAATACACCCTCCCAGGGGCCCGCCTCTTGCCGCTCACGAGGCCCATGTGTGTGAAAGGGTCATCCGTCAACGCTTGCACCAAAGCATCGACGTCGAAGAAAGTGTGCGCTGGGTCGTCAGGGCGCAAGGGAGGTACTGTGGGGTCCCTCAACACCAAGGCGAGCCTATACGCATCGTCCTCGGGACCGTGGTCGTCGTCATTATCTTCGTCCGGTCCATCGTCTCCCCCGACACCCGCGGTGTCCCCATCTCTACCGGGTCCACCCTCTCCCCTGCCACACACGGCACGCCCCCCACGACGGGACCCACCGCCCACGACAACATCCTGCCCCTCATCACCCGCGGTCTCCCCGTCGCCGCAGCGTCCACCACCTGACCCACTACCCGCGGCGGCATCCTGTCCTTCATCATCGAACTCCCCCTGAACTGCCTCCTTAGGGACACCCGAGTCGTCGTCGTCACGGCCTCCCCCCCCTCCTGTCTCCAAACCCCTCTGCCGACGCTGCTCGTCAAGATACGCGAACCAACCCTCCCATCGTGGCAAACTCCCCAGCCGCTCCTCCTCCTCTCGACCCAAACGGGCATCCCTCTCCTCCTCTGTCTCAACAGGGCCCCGCACAACGTCCGCGTCGGTGCACACCTCCGACGGTGAGGCACGACACTGAAATCTCCCAAGCCCCCACCAAGCCCTCAGACGTCAAAGTCGTGTGTGCGGAGCTCCGACGGTGAGCGGGGCCGGATACCGGCGTCGGAAGGAGTCCTCTCCCCCCCACGATCCTCGCCGTCATGTGTCCGCTCTCTGCCTGCTGCCGATGCCAACCCCTCCGAACGCCTAAGTGCCTCGGGTTGTGCACTGCTCCGATGATGGGAGGGAGAGAAGCGATGATCGTGAAAGGGTACCCGCTCATCCTCGGCCTCCTCCTCGGCCTCGCTGTCGCTCCTAACCTCCCAACACCTGCCTGTCTGCCGAAGACCTCCCAGTGGCTCCTGCTCCCCCAAGTCGTCGACGTCGACCTCCGCATGCGAACGTCCTCCACGACCACCACCGGCCCTGTTGCTGCCACTCGCCTGTGCGGTCGACGGCACACCACCAGTGATAACTGATGTCAATGAATCCATGTCGTCACGTCCCCCACCGTAGGTGAAGTACTGCTCAGCCGTCGGGTAGCCACTCAGCGGCGTGTCATCATCGTTTGTCCACTTGTCGTCGATGTCGTCGTCATCCGCAGCAGCGTCCGCATCATCCCCGCCCTCTCGCCACGGTCGCAGCTCCGTCGCCCTCTTGCCAAACACGTCCCGAACCGAATGGGCTCTGGACGGTCGGCTGTCATGGAAAGCGACAATCTGCCGCTGGATCTTCTGCTCAGGAACACTGCCTGCAGGTCGCGCTCCCCACACCTCGGGCTCCACGTCTCCCTCCTCATCCTCGTCCTCTACCGCCGTCCCCTCTCGACCGGTCTCCATAACCCATGGCAATACGTAGCCACCACCCTGCCATGCGCACGAGGCCAGTTTGAGGTTGGTGGCAATCTCAACCAACTGTGCAAGCTTGGCAAACCCAAGCTTGCAGCGCCTCGCCGTGTTGATGCGCTCGTGCTGCGCCCAGTTCCTCTCCGTTGGAGAGACAGACATCCACAAGTGCATGACACGGATGAAGATGGTGCGCAACTCCGGGTGGGCCCGTCCATGGTCAAGCCACCACGCTGTACATCGCTCGGTCTAGCGGTCCCCCTTGCAATCGTCCGCCTCGGCATCGGAGAGGGACCGATCTCCCCAATCCCCTCGCATCGAGTGGAAGTCCCTCATCTGGTCCCTCATGGTCCTGTACAGTCTGCCGACCAAATCACCGCCGGTCTGAGCCAGCAGAAATCTGTCGCACTCCTCGACCACACGGGCGTCGTCCGCGGTCGTTTCTAACGAATGGTAATACGTGAGGGACCGTTGACGAGGGTTGAGGAGGTGGGCCGCGGCATGTGCGGGCTCTAGCATGTGGAGGTTGTGGATGGCAACCTCACGCACGCACGGCTCGATCATGTCCTCCGCCACGTCGACCCTCCTCATCAACTCTTGCACATGCTGACTCCACTCGTAAACGACGGACATCATCATCCCCCTCCTATCCATCCTGCGCAACAGCTGGTGAGCGGGCGCCATGACAAGGATGGTGTACTGGACACAACGCCAAAACTCCGCGTCCCGGATCTGCTGCTGCACCCACTGCGCCTGCGATACATGCCTGCGCTCCCACGGGATGTGTGCCCAAGCATCCCCGTGCAGCATGCTCTCCAACGCGTCTCGTCGGCCTTTAAGACACGTCAACATCAGGAAAACCGATGCAAACCGATGAATACTTTCCCGAAATATGGGAAGATTCATGCCACTCTAAAACGATCCTTCATTCGGGTGCAGCTCCCATATGTCGGTCTACCATTCCTACCCATTAACCATAGAACTCGTTGACACCACGAGATTCGGACCACCCGAAACCCCCTATTCACAACATTATCCCGCTCGATCCCATCAAGGATCGAGCGAAACATTGACCTCCCATTTCTTCCATAGCCACTTCCCCGACACCTCTTATGCAGCATTTTTTCTCTCTATCTCTCAAACTATTAACTTATCCCAAAAACCGACGCTACCATTACACTCGCAGCACCAAGAAACCTTCAAAACGTGTCTTCAATTGTCCGTTTTCACTGAGAAACGGGCGAGATCCGTGTTTCTAACCTTTCTTCTCTTCCACCCCCGCCATCTCCCGCGCGACTCTTTTTCTACCGATCTTTCTTCCTACTGATCCAACGTTAAAACTAACACTACCATGAATTTCCCTCATAAAAAAACTCATATTCTGTGCTTTTCCCCATCGAGTGGTTTTTCTCAATTTCTACTCCTCATCGTTTCTTCCTCTGCCATGCCTCCTCCCCACTGTCTTCTTTGTTGAAAGTACCTGGCGCCCCCCTTTGTCTAGGTCCGTTTCCCTCTTCGCTGCCTACATTCCTTCCCCGTCCTGAACTGCAAGCTACCTCGAACACGATGACAAAGGAATCGGCCGATAAGGACAATGGAATGGCGGTCAGAGACGCCGAACTCCGGAGGTGGGTAACAACTTGCCTGCGGAGTCCGTCTGTCCCGAGAAGGCTGTGTTGCAGCGCCCGATATGTGCTCGGCTGCCGCAGCTCTTACGTTGTACCAGGTAGGAGGATGCGGACCCACTGCTAAGCCTTCAGCATGAGCCTGGCTAACGTGGATCCTGATGCAGATCTTGGTAGTAGTAGCAACTTTTTAAGTGGGGCTTCAGGTCGAAACGAGGAAGTGTCCAATGGGGACTTTTGTTGGGACAGCTCTGACACACAGCCCAGTGTGTGGCTGCCTCCTACCGGCGCCCCACAGGCCCTGCCCAGCTCAGGCATAGTTCACCAGCTTCGGGCCCCGACGGCTATGCTCACACTCAAAACTCTCACAGTAGATGGTGGGAGGCGGACTGTGCGCCTCGTGGGCTAATCACCCACTGGCTCGCATGCACGTTGAACTCCCCGGCCTGCGTTGTTAAGGCGGGCACAGTAAAGGAATTTTGCCATCATCCCGAACATGCAGAAATTCGGGCGGGCCCAACAGAATAAAAGAAAAAGCGTGCTCCTAGGTGAAGCAGGTTCCGACGTCGATCTTAAACTCGATCACCGAGAGTTCAGAAGTGATAAAAACAAAATACATAAATAAATAGAGGTAAGAATAAACGCCGTACGTTCCGCTGGACCGCGACGCTGTGCACACCCAGGCTGCGTGTGATTGTGCCTCGCCGCTAATACGTAGCGCGCACCACTCACCCGAGCGAGGACCTAAGCCCCCTCAATCGCGCTCCACCCAACGAGCGGGGCTGCACTAACGTGTCTTGCAGAAAACACGCCAAATACCCTTGTAAGGGTATTTGGTACGACACCGCCACGAGTTGTCCTTGAATGGGCCCAGGCAGAGCGCGGGAATAGATATACAAGACTTGGTTATCTTGAAGGTTCAATCCAAGAACCTGCAGCAACCGATCAACTTTTCGAGACAGTGATTCCACTGAGGTCCAATGTCTTTGCCCAATGGTGGTGAGCTGGTCAAAGGCCTTATTGGTCGTGGTCTTGTCCAAAAAGCATTCCTTAATCTTGCCCAGGAACTGCTTTAGGTTCAACGTCGCAACCCACTCACTAATGTCATCGAAACCTGCAGCGTTGGCTTCGGGCAATACCCATTCCTTCACTTCCCCCCCACGGCAAGAAGTGGAGAAAGCAACTTCGGACTCGGGTTTGACAGGGGCCATCTATGCAACCGGTTGAAGACGCTGAATGCGCGTTCATGTTCAAACGTGCGCTTTCATAACCCCCGGGCCGCGTTCAATTGCGTTCAAACGCGCTGCCCGCCACGTAGTGCAAAAAAAATGAACGCGACCCCGAGGGGCGCGCGCGCGCGTCGCGGACTACAGGGTGGTGGGCCTCGTTCAACGAACCCCAAAACTGCAAAAAAGAACCCCTACCGCGTCACCCCCCGCCATATGTGAAGGGTTTTTTTTTAGGGGGGGGCGGGGTAGGGAAATCCCCCTAACACAGCTCAGACGCCCCCAAAACTGCAAAAAAACACCCCTACTGCATCACCCCCCACCATATGTGAAGGGTCCTTTTTTTTTTGTGGGGCGGGCTGGGGGAATCCCCCGATCACGGCTCAGACGGCCCATGCAGGCTATCTGAATGGTCCTCGCAGCCATGYAGCGCAGACCCCCCCACCAAAATCAAGGCAGGCAGTAAATATGAAATAGAGCACGAGCTGACCGAATATATACTCAAGATTCGAATTAAGGTCTGTGTTTCAGCAGTTATGGGTTGCTCACGTAGCTAGGGCTTGGCTGCCCAACTCACCAAATGTCCAAAACTAGAATGAATCTTCTGCAGAACGTCGAATAATACACCGCCATATGTTTTGTCTTTTGTGCATGTGGTGAGTAGAGGCCCTTAGGGCCACTGCACGTATTCCTAAGAAAAAAAAAACGAGAAAAAAAAAAAACGGGAAAAAAGAAAAAGAAGGAAAAGCTAAAACAAGAAAAAACAAAACATATGGCGGCGTATTATTCCATGTTCTGCAGAAGATTCATTTTAGTTTTGCACATTTGATGAGTAGTGCAACCAAGCCTTGAGAATCACGTGCAGAGATCAACACGGCCTAGCTATGTGAGCAACCCATAACTGCTGAAACACAGACCTGAATTTGAATCTTGAGTATATATTCGGCCAGCTCGTGCTCTACTTCATATTTGCTGCCTACCTTGATTTTTGTGAGGGGGGCTGCGCTACATGGCTGCGAGGACCCTTCAGATAGCCTGCATGGGCCGTCTGAGCTGTGTTAGGGGGATTCCCCCACCCCCCCCACAAAAAAAAGGACTCTTCACACACACACACACACACACACACACACACACACACACACAATTTCATGCACACACTTTTTT